TCCATGCTCGTACCTAACACATTAAGATAGATAAAAAATGTATTCGAGATCACTTGCAACAAAATAACATTTGTCTCATGCCCATTAGCACCATTGATCAGATAGCAGACATTCTTACCAAAGCTCTCTCTACACCTCACTTCACTAAACTTCAACTCAAACTGACGGTCATTCAAGACCCATCAGTTTGCAGGGGCGTATTAGTACACAAACATATATAAATATTGTATTATCTTAATTAATGCTGAGGTGGCACTTAACTATTGGCTCATATGTAATAAGGCCATCCTTGCTCTCTATATATACGTGTATCTTATACGAATGCTAACAGAGCTTTCACTTTATGTTCCCCGTTTTCCTCTCTCGTTCTCTTTCATTCTTGTTCTTGCTGTTTGTGTTCTTCAAGTTGCCCACATATTGATGTGATGATCTTGATTCACTCTAATCGTTTGAGATATTTCAACAAGATAATAGTATTTAGGTGATGTCTCCTTGGAATACCATTCAATATCAAATCTTATGTATTGTCAGGCATCAACACATTGTATTGAATCCTAAAACAGTAATAAAAAAACATTGTGCGAGAAATTATTCTATGTGGACACCGGGTTGTTCGGAAGCGAATCAGAATGCGCCACGCCACCCGGTACACAGCAGTGCACAACAAACAATTGACTTGGCGCGTTCTGATTTGCATCCGGACGGCGTCTGCATCGGCACAAAATAATTTCACCTACAAACATGATTGAACAGTCAACAAACATAAAAGTAACACATTGTGTAAAGAAAATACAGTGCCAAAAAAGATTTGTGGCCACAATGATAGAGAATTAAATTGTATTTACAAATCGGCCAAGAGACTGTTTGGTTGTATGTATTTGCAGTGTACTGCAAAGTAAATGCTGGGGTTTTAAGCTTTTTTTTATGTTTGATTTGATGTAAAATAAATACAAAGCAAAAAACTTACGGGCTATTTGGTTGTCTAAGAAATTAATGACATTCTACATAGTGTAAAGAAAATAGTAATTGCAGTGTGTTCAAAATACTTTTGGGTTATTTGTTTGGTAGTAAATTAAATATAAGGGAATTATTTTTTTATTTGATTAGGTAATGCAAAATAAAATAAAAACTATGTATTCTGAATATTTTACTGTTTCTTCATTGGGTGTACAAATTTGAGTTAATATAACATTAAAAAATTATTATTTGAGTAATATTAAACTTGGATATATTCAAGCACGTCAAATTAAAAATAAAACATACATAAAATTAATTATTTTCACAAATTCAATTATGAAATAAATAATCATATTCAAAAGTAAAATTAACAGTATTTTAAGGATAAACGCAACACGAGCATTACTATTTCATGTCCAAAATATATATGAAGGTTGATATATATAACACCAAAAATTTATTTTGATCGGGCATGAACTCGAAGAAAAATTAAGTCGAAAACTTTTGCAATTAAATTCAGGACAATTTGAACTTTAATTTCAGCAAATTTATAATCGAATTGAACGTCTCAAAAAGACGAACTCAACGGCACCAAATTCGACTCAATTCGAGCCTGAATGGGTCCAAATCGAAGACAAGAAGCTCATTTGGATGGTTCAAACTATAAATTAGATCATCAAACGGTTTTTAAATGTAACATGCTTATTGTTAAATCGGGCGGCTTGACGAGACAAATTCAACAAGCCCAAGATAGTTGAATTCTGACATCATTAAGACACTCAAATATTTGATAAACGGTAGGTCGTCCATTCAAAACATTCCCGAGATATGCTCTTAATCTTCTCCCTATTTACTAGTCATGTCACTATAAAAAATTATAAATAAACACCTCATTTTTCATTGAGGGGGGACTAAGCAAGGAAGAACAAGAAGAGATGAGAGAAAGAGAAATTTGATATATCTCTTTCCACCAAGCGACCACTGCCCGGCCATCGACTATTGTCGAACCCTACGAATTATCATCGGACTTACACTCGACAACAGATTGTCACCGGATTTTCACCCTACCATCATCGCCAACTACGATCTTTTCGACATCCATCATCTGCCAACTACAGCCCTTCTAGCCACCTTTGCCCGATTAAGGTCTTTCTGACCATCGTCGCCCGCCGACAATGATCTTTTTGACCACAGTTGCCTGCCGATTATGGTCATTCCGACCTCTGTTGCCAAATAATTTTCCTTTTGACCTTTGTCATATGTCAATTACGATCCTTCTGACCTCCGTCGCCAGACTACTGTCTTGCTGACCTCCATTGTCCGCCGACTACGATCTCCATTGTCCGCCGACTACGATCTTTTTGACCTTCGTCGATTGACCACGGTCCCTCTAATCTTCGTCCCCCGCCGACTACGGTCCTTCTGACCATCATCATCCAACTACGATATTTCCGACCTCCGTCGCCCGTCGACTATAGTACTGCTGACTAAACAAACATGTAAATACTGAATTTTCAACTTCTCACCATGTAATGCACTGTATATGATGTATATTTGCTACATCATGCCAATGCCTTCCCCCCAAGGAAGGGAATCATTTGTAATAAACTGCAAACACTAGTTGATTCATTCAAATTGGGCCAAGCCCTATGCTTTTCCATATTTTTAGAGGTTTTTACGTAAAAACTCGGTTGTCTATTATGAACACTACACTCTTCTCATTTATTTGATTGTGTGATGGATCTTCGTACAAAACTAAGGTGTTAAACTTTATATTTCTCTATCATCGTGAATATTTCCAGGATGCAATAAAGGTATAAGTTCAAAATATTTATATATCTACCACAATTATTAACAAAAAATTATCTTTATATTATAACTCAAAATGATTAATATAACATTAAGTTTCATATTATAAGTTATTAATTTAACTCGTTTCGCATGCATGTAGTCTTTAATTTATAGATTTTGAGAGTAAGGAATGCATCATTATTGTTTTCTTTGATAAATTATCATATATAATAACAATATATTCATTGAAAAAGCTAGAAATATTTGATAGGTCTATCATGAATTTAACGAATATATTTCTTTTTTATGATGCTCTTTTTTGTACTTTTGATAGCATTAACAATTTGAGTAGCATTATCAAACAAGTAGCATACTTTAAAAAAGCATGATTAAAAGATTAGTATCATATTTTTTCTTTTTTGAATAGGTGTTAAAAGAAATACATGAATATGTTTGAGTAATTTTGAAAAAAGGAGTGTAATTAATAGCTAATTATGTAATAGGAGCGGAATAAAAATCAAGTTTTAAAAGGAGCAAAAATACAAAATTGATCTAGTTATTATAAAACATAAAACAATTTTGCCTGTTCTAGACAATGCAAATCTATCATGACCGTATTGTTTTTGGTGAATATGAGTAAGCTTCTTATAGCGATTTCTCTTTTAAGTACTCATTGAATACAACCAAAGAACACATGATAAGAAAGAAAAACAATTTCAAAATTTTGGATGGAAGGAAATTCAAGTGGCAACTATTTTGATTCTTTTTTTAAGGATTTGAGGGATCAAAATGATTCTTTTAATATTGTTGGGAACCGTTTTGATCATACATTAAAGAGTTAAGGGGGTATTTTGATGTTTTTCTCTTAAATTTTCCTATGGCTTATTTGGTGGTAAGAACATAGAATTTATCTTTCAAAACTTAATGAACAATGTTAAATTTTTATTTAATTTCATGTAATTTGATATCAATAGTTATATAAAATCTATTTTTTCTCAAAGTTTTTTAGATGCTAAAAATAAATGAAAATAAAATCATCATTTTTCTAAAAAAATGTGGGCCCTTCAAAATGCCATAAATAATTACTTAGTTTTTTTGTTGTTTATATATGATAATAGCATAAATAGCAAGCATTTAATTATATATATTTAGCAATGTAAATTAAATGTTAGTTATTTTTGGGGAAAAATAAGTAGGATATTTTAATCAAAATTTTGGTTATTTTGTATTTTAAACATTTAGGTTTAATTTAAGATGAATGAAATTTATTTTAAAATGGATTCAAACTCTTAAATATTGGAATAATTTTATTTATTTATTATTAGGTATACGCCCTCTCTTAAATAAATTATTATTAACATGAATATAATATATAATAATCAATTAATATTTATATTATGCTCATTAAAAAATATGAATTATTTTTATTTACTTATTTAAAAAATATTGATTGATTAAAAAAAATTATTATAATTATTTTCCTTAAGTCGCTCTCTCCCGCGAACTCGGGATTCGGAATGTTTCATATTAACTGTATCGCAATTCCCCCTGGACGCACAAGTAACGGAAACTCCGTTGCTCTCGTCCCCTTCGTTTCAAACCCTTCCACTCTCTCTCTCTCCCTCTCTGCGAAGCACACGCAAAATTCCAGGACAGAAGCATTCCGCTAGCGCCTCCACACCTTGATCCTTGGAACGGTCTCTCCAGCTTTATATTTGTGTGAGGAGGCTTTGATCCCCGAAAAATATTAGAAAGGTTTTTTTGACCTATTTCCATCGACCATTCTGGGAATGTTGATGCGTAACGGATATATGAGCGGTTTGATTTTATGTTTATGTGCCGCAGGTGGTTGTGTCCTGTCGAGATTGGGCCTCAGCGCCGCGGATTTGGGTAATGGGTGTCTCCGTCGACAATCTTCGGGGGCTCTCTTTGGCTGTGTCTTCTAGTATCTTCATCGGCTCTAGCTACATTGTCAAGAAGAAGGGCCTTAAGAAAGCAGGCGCTACTGGTGTCCGAGCCGGTGGGTTGGCTGTGCCTTTTCGTCGGCACTCATTTCCCGACACTTGAGGATTTAGGGTTTTTGTTATTTTTATGTAATTGTTTGGATTTTGGTTAGATCCATGAAAACCCATCCACGTGCACCTTTTTAGGTTTAATCTCGATGCACTTTGATCTGTTAATTATTTATTCTGATGATTAATAAATTTATTCATTTGAGAAGCCAATGGTTTTTGTTTCTTTTTGTTATGCAGGATCGGGAGGTTACTCATACTTGTACGAGCCTTTGTGGTGGGTTGGCATGGTAACCAGTAAGTATGTTGTTGATGATGATAAATCAGTTTTTGAGTTATAGCAATGCCCATGCTTTATGTAAATTTTGATGTTGCTTCGTTTTTATCTTTAAATTAACAACCCATGGTGATAAGAGACCTTGTATGATGGTCAAGCTGGATTTGAAAATAAGGTGAATGTGCTTGTGAACAGGTATTAGTCGTTGGAATGAAAGAGAATAAAGAACCATATAGTTTATAAAATAAACATGTTGAATTGTCACAAATTGCAGCTTATTTTGGGTTAGTGTTGATTCTTTGAGACTGGTGGTGTTCTTATCAAAGAAATGGTGATATAGTCCAATGAACTTGTCATGATAATTATAAGCGTGCAGTTATATTGGGAAAGGTGCTTGTTTTGCATTTATTATTTGTACGCCTTAGAATCATATATATTGCAGTTACAGTGAATATGAGAAGAAAGGACAAATACTCTACTGTATGTAGATGTTCGAAACTAGGCATGTACTAGGAAAATTTTTGAAGGCTTTATCTATTGCGTTAATATATGGCTACAATTTTAGTTGGCATAGAAAATATCATAGCATGAAAATTGTTTAAATATGGTTAGTATGGTAGTTTTTATTTCACTATACCTTAGTTTGTTGTATCAATTCCTCCTTTATAAACGAAGAGATAGACTATTGGATAATATACAAGTTCAAATATAGTATTAGAGTAGGCTTACTCATAATCCTAGTTGCAAGCCCTCCCCTTCCCCTTGTGTTACTGTGATGAGCTCGTCACCTTGCAACCAATCTCTTACTTGTAGTTCACATCCCTTGGCATGGTATTGCACTAGCGAACGACGCTACAATCTTGCCGCATCCCTAGCCATGATTTCGCACTCACAACTCACCACATATTGACCTCCTTACGTGGAATATCACATCCACAATTCACCTCTCACCCATGTACTTACCTGAGATGCTACACTCATAGCTCTCCTCACACTTGTGTCCTTCCCGATAATATCACATCCATGCCTATAACTTTCTTTGCATCCTTTTGAATTGATGTTCCCAACACCTACCTCTACACTGTATCGTGTAGCTTCTCTCAATGTTGTCTCACAGGCCATGCACCCCATGACCTCCCCACACTTGCTCTTTTCCCACTATCTAGGGCTTGATCTTCCTTGCCCAACATAATCTTTATGCTTCAAATCAACTCTTAGATACTTCATGCATCTCTCCTCATGGTGTCATTGCTTCTCTCTATTCTCTTAATGATTCAAAACCTCCTCCACTATTGTTATCACCAGCAAATTAGATGGTACTATCTTCTATTGTTAAGAGCTTTTTGTTTTCTTGTTGGTTCTTATGAAAACTTCAACATATAAATGCATCTCTTCCAGCTTACAATGATATCGTTAAATGCTCATAATGGTAAGCATCTTACTATATTGTCCTCACCACACTACTAAATAGTCTTGAACTTTCCATTTTTTTGTTATGTTCCAAGACATTGCTAAAATTTTTTTGGACTTTCTTCATTCCATTTATTATTAGGAAAATAATCTCTCTTATATTTATATCCTCTAAATTCTATCTTTACGAATATGATTTGCCCATTCAGGAATATTATAGTGTCTTGTGAGCTGAGTGGTAGAAGCTGTAATGATAAAACTATTAATTACTAATTCAATTTTATGGTAAAAATAAAATGTCGAGTTTGTTATTGGCAGATTTTTTTTTGGACTTTATCTCTCCACCCAATATGCACAATCTCAAATCATATTGGTTTTATGATCTCATTTTTACAAATGCTTTCTCTTTAATTCTTCTAGTTCTTTATATTTTGATTCCATTTCCACTAATTTTTGAGCTAATTTTTGAACCACCACCTTTACTACAGGATGTCGTGGTAGTTTGATTAACAATGGTTGTGGCCATGCGAGAATAGCTCCTCTCTTTTCTCCCATTGTGCCATACAAATGATATATTACAATGTTTCTAGATCAAGCTTGGATATCCGTCTGCTGCTTAGCATGTCCTGACCCCTCTATGATTACTGTTGGTCCTTTCGCTCCCCCGACTTATCATAGAATAATCAGTTCTTTTGTTATGTCCTAGATTCTAGACTTAGGTGTTTCTTCATATATGATAGATAATCTCCATTGATTCTTCTCTCTTAACATCTTATGTTTCTGACTTATCATTATTATTTATGGTTCCCCCTATCTTGTGTTTGAAAAAGATTTGCATCTCTCTCTAGAGGATTATCTCTCCTTCATGTTTTATATATTCTCAATTTTTGTCAATTTACCATTTATCAATTTCTTATTAGAACTCTTAACTATTATGTAACAATTTATCCATATCATTATGTGTTTCAAGATCTTAGTACTAGGATGAAAATTAGTGGATGTATTGAAGCTAGAAAGTTTACCGTTGTTTTAACCCTCCACCATATGGTATAACATTTAAGCACATCCTACTTTTCATGAGTTATCTCCACACTTTTGTTCACCTCCTTCTATCTCATTATCTTCTTCAATTCATGGTCCTCTTGGAACATTTATGCTTATTTCTTTTTGCAACTGTACACATGATAATCTCATTCATCTTCTTTAAAACATCTCTCACCACATTATTCAATGTCGCTAAGTATCCCATTATGGAGAGTTCTTTGATCTCCATGTGCCCATTGGCCTTCGTAAACGTAAACATTAATGCACTGATCATCCTATTTCATTGTATATGTCCTTCGATCATATTTCCTTTGGCTATGATGCTTTTCTTTATCATTGCAATTTGTTTCTATTCCCTCAATATACTAGGAGCTCTATAGAACGTTCGGTGGAAATAGACTATATAAAGTTGTTGCCTTGCTTAATTGGCACATATAATATATGATTTCCCCTCATCCTAACGTCAAAATAATCCCATTTTGATGGTTTTACAACAAAAAATTTTATCCTAATAGCTTGATTGATAAATACAAGACTTGCTTTGTTGCTAAAGGTTTTACTCAATTCTTTATGATTGATTACTTTGAAACATTCTGTTCAGTTGGCATGCTTAACCCCATTCAGATTCTTTTGTCTTTCATAATAAATCAAGATTGGACTTTGCTGTGCATGGATGTGAGTAATGCATACTTATGATAATCTCATTGAAGTATTTTGTATGGAACAACCACTAGGATATGTTACTCGGGGGAAGGTTAGGATATGCAAGCTAAACAAGGCCATATACGTACTTAAGCAAATCCTTTGTGCTTGATTTGATAAAATTTCAAAATGCTTGCTAAGGTTAACTTTCTTTGCTGTGCAATAGACCACTCATTTGCTTCATACTCAATTCATTTGTTTATGTTATCTTGGTAGGCAATGTAGATGACATCCTTCTTACTAGAATTGGCTTGGACAAGGTTTCTGAAGTAAAACACTATATATAAAAGTATTTTCTGATCAAAGATTTGGATAGCACGAACTATGTATTTTTAGGGTGATAGAAATTTTCTAAAGCAAATGAGGAATTTCCCTGTTGCATAGAAAGTATGCCGTCAACCTTCCTGAGGAAACTAGTTTGTTAGGTTTCAAACACAATTCTATTAATATTCAAAAGGTTAGAAATAAAGATGAAAGTCTTAAAGATGTCTCCTTAACAGAGGTTGGTCGGTAAATTGATCTGCTTTATTGTCACAAGGAATAAGATTATCATGTTCTAAGAATGAGCAGCTTACAATTGGAAACTTTTTTTTATGTTGATTATACTGGGTAAAGTTATGAAAAAACTACACATATGGGTATTATACTTGTGAGAGACAATCCAATCATGTGAAAGAGTAAGAAATAAACATGGGTGGCTGGATCTAATGTTGAGATAGAATACAATCTTAACAAACTCTACTTGTGAGATGACGTGTGTTAATACCCTCTCAGGGGTATTTGGGTTTTTCAATCCCATAAGCCATGATTTTAAGTTTTGACACTCGTGTATCATTTGCATTGTTAGTAATCATGTGCTTCATGAAAGAACAAAACAAATTGAGGTTTACTATCATTTTATTTAGGATGTGATGCTATCAATGAAGATTATTACTAATATTTCCAACTTAGAACAATCGATTGATGTTGAAAAATGTGCATATGTAATTACACTTTAACTGCTATAAAGGGGAGTGTTGGCATATGACATATAATTTCAGGAAACTTCTTTAAATACGATTTGTGGAATATATTTATTTACTTTAGTCTATTGTATTGATTCATCTGTTTTAAATAGATGGTTTTTTATTGAATAATACACAGCATATTATTTTCACTCTGACATAAGGGAAACAAGATTTTGCAGGCTTTTTTTCCTGTTTAACACCTGGCTACAAATTTAAGGGGAACAAGAAGGAAAGAGTAAACAATAGTTGCAGTGTTTCCCTTATTATTTTTGAGCTTTCCACATATAAGCTTATCAATATCTTCAAATAATTTGTTTCCAAACATGTGATATAATTTGGTTCAATTCCATCTTTTTGAATTTTTTTCAAGGAAAAAAATAATGAAGTGAAATTTTTTTCTTCCATATTCAAGTGCACAATATCGAATTTAACTTCGGTAGAAGTTGCTGACATGGTCCTTTCTTCTTCATATTTATTATTTTCAAATTTGTGCTTCTTTGTTATCCCCCAAGATATTTCAATGTGATTAATTGCTTTTTCTACTACTTTGCAGTGATAGTTGGAGAGGCAGCAAATTTTGCTGCCTATGCATTTGCTCCTGCAATTCTTGTGACTCCTCTGGGAGCACTAAGTATCATTGTGAGGTAGATTCTTGATGAGATCAGTTTCCATGTCTAATATGGTTTTTATGATGCTAATACACTAATATCTTACTTACTGCAGTGCAGTGCTTGCTCATTTTATGTTGAACGAGAAATTGCATGTTTTTGGCATCCTTGGTTGCATTCTTTGTGTGGTGGGCTCCACCACTATCGTTTTGCATGCCCCAAAAGAGAGAGAGATAGAATCAGTAAAAGAAGTGTGGCATCTTGCTACTGAACCAGGTACTTTTTATAGTTCGTTAGTCGTTAAGTACTGTCATCTTTAATAATTTCACCTAGGCTTGGAATAATAAGAAATATTTTCTTATTTTTCTGTTCAAAGTGATTTTTTTTTTGTTGCACTAGTATTTACAGGCTACGAGCATATTCAATGTCAAATCATTATTACAACTGAGAACATGTATACTTTTCAAAACCGTCAGATTTCATTGTAAAAATGAACATACAGAACTTGCACATGTATATATGGCTTTTAAAGCTTTTTCTTGGAATATACACTGTAGTGGCATGTTGGATCGACTAATCTTTCTTTGTGCAGGCTTCCTTGTTTATACTTGTTTGGTCGTGGTGTTGGTTACTTTCCTTATCATGCAATTGGTTCCACGTTATGGTCAGACACATATGATTGTATACGTTGGAATATGCTCACTTATGGGTTCACTTACGGTACAGAATCTTTACATCTTGAAGAAATCTGGTGTATTTTCCACCCATCAAATTATTTAAAATATTTTTTTGCAGGTTATGAGCGTGAAAACAGTTAGCATTGCCCTAAAGTTAACAATTCAGGGGATGAATCAATTTGTATACTATCAAACCTGGCTTTTTACAGCTGTGGTGATCGCCTGTATTGTAACACAGCTGAACTATCTCAACAAGGTAAATATCTGCACATTGGAGAAGCGACAACGAAAACCAAAGTAACTGGTAGCTTTAGGTTTTTCAAAATTTCAAGTTTTGATTTCTATTACGCCAGAGAAACCTGTTCTTATTAGACAAAACAAGCTTACGTAGAACCAAATCTTGTAGCCCAAGTAATCTTAGGATGGGAAACTGTTAATAGGGGTTTAATGGTTTTCTTATATACTAAAAAATGGAATTCTCCTTGTTATTGGTCTATATTATAAGACTGCTTGGCAATCTTATCTTTCAAATCAAACAAATAAATTAAATTTCAGAAGGTTAGTTCGGTAGTCAAAATGATGAAAAAGTAAAATTTACATATTACCCAAACTGCTTTTAAATTGTTGCATTTTATAATAAGCAGCATCTATGAAGAGTTGGTCATGTTTCTGTACTTTTTTTTTGAAAGCTAACCTTGGCTACTGCTAAAGCTGCAAAAGTTCGTCACGTGACACAGTTAAGATGCATGGTCAATTGCTAAATTGTATCCATAACATAACTGCATTTTAAGAAGATAATGTTACCTTATTTCTACTTTTTTGGGCCAATTCTATCAACTGCTCTATTATAAACATATTAAGCTAGGATGAAATATCACTTTTGTAGTCAACAAAATATTTTTTCTGTACCAAGAACTCATACTAAAAACTTATAAATAATCTCTGCAGGCATTGGACACTTTTAACACAGCGGTGATTTCTCCTGTGCATTATGTGATGTTTTCAACTTTCACAATTCTAGCTAGCATGATCATGTTTAAGGTGATTAATCAAAAGTTCTTCCTTTTTTTTATTTTCCTATTGCTTATTTTGCTTAATGTATAATTAAAGTTGATCTTATATCATTCCAGCAAAATATATGTAAGTTCGTAGCATTATTCATGACCATGATCTCTTTTAGCTTTCTCTGTTACGAGAGCTGATTTCAGTCTGTGTTGTGCATGATTTTATTTGCCATCTACTTATTAAATTTCTAGTCTCACAAGTCACAAACAAGGTGCAATTCTTGGAGCTATAATAGAAAATGCCTTTAATGAAGCTTATAATCTTCTAATGGTTTACAATTTAAGTTTGGTTGTTTAAATATTTGATGTCAATTCCAGAGCACATTATTTTACGAAGAGACTAACCTGGGTAAATCTGCTCTCAGTAGTACTAGTGTTCTGATTTTTTGTATTTTTTGAGTTCTAAATGATCTTTCTTCATTAGATTTAAACGATAATTTGACTTTTAATAGGACACAATGAAGAAAAAGGATTAATGTAGCCGACCCCACGTAATAGGACAAAGGCTTGATGTTGTTGCTCTATGTTGTCTTTAGGTGATTTGTTCAGGAGTAAAACTTTATAAATTTTGAATTTTCCAGGTTGCTTTCTTTTTTTGAAAGAACAGCAAAATTTCATAAGTTATTAGTCATTAGCATAGCATTATCACACAGGCTCGGGCATGCACAAAAGAAAGTACATAGAGGAGCAATGCTATATTGTTTTTATTTTTAATTTGTTGGAATTTTTTTAGAGTGATCAAAGTACAAGTTTTCATAAAAAAAAATAGAAAGATACAGGGTCAAACTCCTTATAGAAAGGTGGCTTTGTAAATACGCCATGATGGCAGAAATGGTAAAGGGATGGCTGCAAGTGATTAATATGTCATCCAAATAAATGAGTTGGTGGATGTGAGTATTGCCGTTGGAATAAATTAACAGAGTGGGATTTGCATTGCTGAACCTAAATCCACGACTAAGAAGATAGTTAGAGAAGTAAGAAACCATGGTATTGGAGCATGCTTTAAGACATAAATGGCTTTGTGATGTTTGCAAACATCAATAGGATGTTGTGAATCAGTGAAGCCTGGTGGTTCCTGTATATAAACATTTTCAGAAAGTTAGCCATGTAGAAAGGCTTTGGAGACATCAAGTTGGAGCATTGATCAATGGTGATGTAAAGCAATGATAAGGAGTATATGAATAGTTGGCATCTTTACAACTGGATTGAATGTTTTATAATAATTGATACCCCATTTTGTTTGAAGCCTTGAGCTACAAGACAAGCTTTGAAATGATCAATAGTACCCTTAGATTTTAATTTGGTTTTATAAGTCCACCGACAGCCTAAAATTGTTGGTTAGAAGTGGGGGGAACAAGAGACATGGTGTCTTCTTTTTGTAGAGCATAAAGTTCGGCAAACATAGCAAGGCCATTCTTGATGTTTGGTGGCTTGAGTGTAACTGTAACATGTGGGCGTGAAACTGGCTAAAATTCTGCTGAAAGATTGAGGATTTGTTTTGGTTTTGGGTGTCCTCTCTTCAGGTGGATCTGCATGGGGTGAGTTGAGTTGAGTGAGCTGGAGGAGAGGAGGGATGTGGTGATGAGCTTGGATGTATGGGAGGGGAATGGAGGGTGTATGAATTGAAGGTGTGGTGGGTGAGGTTTCAGAATTTGTAGAGGTAGAGATGGTAGTGGGTGGAGGAATCTGTGAGGTGATGTTTGGAGATGCAGGAATGGTAGAGCAGGGAATGAAAGTGAGAGGAGAGGAATGTGAAGAAGGATTGTGTTAAGTTGAAGGTCGGGAATTCCTGTGATAAGGAAAAATTTACTCGTGAAATATGGCATGACTACAGATTTGAATTTTGCCAGTGAGAGGATTGTAGCAACGATAGCCTTTGTGGGAAGAAGTTTATTGAAGGAATACACATTCGGTGGAGGGAGGCGTTTACTTGTTTGGAGTAAGGGATTGCAAAGATGGAAGGCATAAGCAGCCAAAAGACTTTTTTTTTTTTTTGTAATTTTGGGTAAGATCCGCCTAAGCGGGTAGCCTTAACCGCATGTGATCGGTAACAGAAGCAGCCAAAAGACTTGAGGTCAATAAAGGATTACATTTTTTGATGGCATAGTTGATAGAGACTCATTTAATTTGATGGAAGCAGAGGAAAGTCAGTTGATGAGATAGGTAGCGAGAAGAGCTTCTGTCTAGATATGAAGGGATAGGCGAGTAGGGTTGAGAAGAGTACTTGTGTTTTCAATGAGATGCCTATGATTATGTTTGTCAATATTGTTATGTTCAGGGGTATAAGGGTAGTTGAATTGGTGAATAAGGCCATGATTTGATGGAAATTTCTATAAGAAATGAGAAGTGGGATCACCACTAACATCTGATCTCAACATTTTAGTTAGAGTATTGAAAAAAAATTTAGACATCAAGGTGAATTGCTGAAATTTTTTAGAGCCGAAGAAATCTTAAGAATTCATCAATAACAAGCGCACATTATTTAAATCCATTGAGAAACATAACCGGGGATGGTCCCGAAACATCTGAATGAATAAGGTCTAAGGGATTTGAAGTATGTATTGATGTTTTTTTAAAAGAGAATTTTTTACTTTTATCCACATTAATGCGGTGCAGAAAAAGTAGTAGAATGGATGCATTAAAGTAGTTGTTGCTTGGCTAAGGTAGCTAGTTTCAGTTGATGAGAATGGCCGAGACGAGCATTCCACAAAGAGTAGGAGCTGAGTTGAGGATGAAGTGCTTGCAGTGATGAAGAAAGGCTACTGGTGTTCACGTAGTAGAGGCCATTACAGCTGTGACCGTGAAGAAGAACTTGGTTGGTTAATAGATCTTTGATTGTAAAATTCAAAGCATCAAATAAAATAGAACAATTATTCTCAAATGAGAGTTTATGAATAGAGAGGAGCTTGTGAGAGATTTCAGGAAGGTGAAGAAGATTGCGACAAAGCAGCTTACAGTGAGAGATTGTAGTGGGATGAAGACCATAACCACTTTGCTGAATGGGAAAAGCAGCTCCATTGGCAACATAAATGTTGTATGATTCTGTATATGGCATAGGCTACTGTAGATGTTGAGGGTACGCACTAAGATGCTCGGAAGCTCCAAAATTTAAATATCAGTCATTGTTTGACGGTTGAGATTAAGTGAAGAGTGAGTGTCTGCTATTGTGGAGTCAGAATTGTACTGTAAGTTGCAAAGACGCCAACAGGAGAGCGGAATATCCAAATTTATCATAGATCTGACAATTTGGTCCTGTAGTGGAGCTCGGCCAACTACCATGATAGGAAGAGATAGCATTTCTAGCAGTGAAGGGTGGAGAGACATAACCTCATCCCTGATTGGATCGAAACGAATGAGCTCATGGAGTAGCAAGAGCAATGGGAGTATTGCCATATAACACCTCTTTGGAGGTGTCATTTTTTAATATTGATTTCCTCAGTGCATATGAACTAAGGAATACATATTGTCGAGATTGATGAGAGTAAGTTTGGTGTGAATTATAGTTTTGAAGGTTTGATATGTAGGGGGGTAAGCCATGGAGGATGTATGGTACAGCTGCAACAATATTATCAACCAAGGATTTGATGGAAGAAAGTTATTGAATCATTGTAATTTCATTTTCGGTAGAGGAAGTGATTTGCTTGCTTTGAAAGCTCATGGATCCATCGAAAAATCCTTCAAAACAGTTAGCCTAAAACATTTGGATGACTTGAGGTTTCCAGATAGGATAATTATCATCGTTACGCTAAATGCTAACATTGTGTTTAAGATTGGACATTAAGAACTTGAGGGAGGAGGGAATTGGGATCAGGTATTTTGTTGTAGGCTGGGGCTGATGATGTATAAATTGCGGAATTGCTGGAGTCATCCATAAGAGAAGAAAGAATGGTGAGGAGTGCGGTTAAGTTTGTGTCTCTGATACCATGAAGAAGTTAAAGAACAGGTTGCTTAAATGTAAACCAGGAAAACAGAGAGCAATCGCAGAGCAGAAACCCAAGGAAAACAACTTACATTGCTTACAGAATTTTAGTAGTTATTACATTGGTATATTGTATATATATATATAATGGGTGTATAGGAGATATATATGTGGCTTTTAAAGAGTTGGTTATAAGCTAATGGTGAGATGAGTGTGGCTGTTTGGAATCAACGGTATGGATTAAACTCTGCAAAATGAGCATAAGTAAATACATTGGAATAAAGTAAATTCACTCTTAACAAATTTTCATGATTTAAATAATCATTATTGTTCAATCTGTCTAGTCTTAGCAATTCATTGCATTCGTAGCACACATCTAGTTAACCAAGCTGGTCAAGATCTACTAACAAATACAATTATTGTTATATTTTGATGAAAGTGCAGTTTCCTTCAAGCTACTGATTAGCATATCTTGAATTATAATAAATAGAATATTCTAATGTAACTTTTATTTTTTGATTGCATCAAAATTAGGACTGGGACTCACAGAATGCTACACAGATTGCAACTGAACTTTGTGGATTCATTACAATACTCTCAGGAACCTTTCTTCTGCACAAAACAATGGACATGGGTAACCGTAGCCCAACAAACTCTGAACCCAATGAACCAAACGCATTGAACAACACGTAGTACTAAAAAAAGGAATCATAGAATCAACTATTTTGATTTACTGAGGCTCTTTCTGAATTCACAAGCCGATTCACCTACGAGGTTCAGTGGAATTTTTGCGAGGGCTATATCGTTTCATGTATACTGTCTTCAATCACAAATTTCAATTGCAGGAAGTCGGTGCAGCTGAAAACAACAATCCCAAGATACAAAACACCTTGTAATAGTATTTCTTTTTCCTCTTCATTTTTTGTTCTTTGGTAACCTTCATATTGTTCTAGTTCTGTTTTCAAGTAAAATTCGAATTGGAGACTGAATCGAGCTGATTTGTATATATAAGCCCTCTTAAATTGTTAGAACAACTACATGAAAATTGTTTTTGCCATTCTCATATCTTTACTGTTTGTTCATGTTTGAAGACCTTGTAACAACCTCTTACTACAGCCATTATGCTCACCAGTGCCATCAAATAAAATTCAAGGGCAAATATAAATGAAATATCAATATAATAAACAATTTACGAAGTGTATTAACATAATAATCTTAGGCTTCGTTTGGGACGGCTGTCTTCCTGCTTCTTAAAGCGGCTTTTTAGTACAAAAATTTTAAATTTTGTACTAAAAAGCTGCTTTAAAAAGTGGGAAGAAAGCCGTCCCAAACGAAGCCTTAATTCAAACTCATTGTTTAGGAATGGATCATGACCTTGTGAATGTGATAAGAATAATACGAGGAATTTATTGTATGGTCTTATACATACTTTCTAGCGTTCACTTAATTTTTTTTCTTAAAGAATTTATTTTTAATAAAAAATATATGAAGAGGAAACATTTATTGCACACTATTTTTATTTATTTATTAAATAGCATTAAATTATAAACATTTATAATAATTTCCCTCAATTTTAAAAAGCACAAATTATTTTATTTTATATTATTTTTTAAATTTTGATTAATAATAATATATATTTATTAGAGAATTTATTTTAATATTTTAATTATTACTTTTATAAATAATAATATTTTCAGTGGCAGAATCACAAATTTATCATTTTTTTTTACAAGAATTTCTCATAGTTTTAACTTTCTTATGGAGTGAAAACACGCTGCTGGCCCGTCATGCGGGGGCTGGCGCTAATCCCAACCCAATATTTAAAGTTCAAACAGTTTGAGAGGCAACAAAGATGGCAATGTATCTAAACTAAAAAGATCTTCAAATTGGAAAAAAGTTAACATATTTGAAGTGCATATAGGAGGTCATAGACTCATAATAGTGCTCATAATACTGCACGGCGAAACTATGAATTTTTAATGAGTCAGAGTCAATATATTGGTTGTCTTTAAGAAGTAATCTGATCATACAACAATTGTATATCGTACTCGTCTAAATGCATCTATTGATTGCGTGCAGTTTCTTCTAAGATAATGATTAGCTTTTGAAGGACATAATGAGTCCGACACATAAAAAAAATCAAGAAAATTTTATTCAACTCGTTAGTTTCTAGCTGAGCATTATGACAATATAAATGATGTGGTACTTAAAACTAAATATATCTGAAATTCAAAATGATATCAAAAGTGTTGCATCAATGACAATATCAAACTTTAGAACCAAGGAAATTGGAGATAGCTTCTTCTCTATTCTTGTTGATGTATCTCGTGACACTTCTTTAAAAGGGAAAATTACTATTGTGTTGCAATATGTTACTGAAAATTGTCAGACAATTTAATGTTTTTGGGTATTCTTTATGTTTCAAAGACAACAACCAAATGTCTCAAAATATCTATTGAACAATTACTTTCAACCTATGGTTCAAGTATCTCAAGAATGCATGGCAAAGATTATGATGGAGCAAACAATATGACATATGGGTTAAAGATACTATTTCTAAATGAAAATAAATTTGCACTTTATATACATTGCTTCTCACACCAACTCCAACTAGCTTTGATATCAATTGTTAAAAATCATGTTTAAATTACATTCTTGTTTACTATAATGTCGAATGTGATAAATGTTATTGGTTTTTGATGCAAGTTTCATGACCAACTTCGAGATAAACAATGAGAGAAGACTTTCACAGAATTACATAATGGAGAACATATAACAGGAAGCCTTAATTTATTCATATGTTTAAATAGTGTTTGTATGATGATTAATCTATATACACACTTGATATATATATATATATATATATATATATATTTTAAATTAACTAATTCATACACCATTGACTTATTGTATTGATTAAATTATCTAAACATTAAATGTGTCTAACTTATAGTATTATTTTACTCATGTTTAAAAAAAAAAATTAAATGTGTCTAACTTATAATAAGTCAAGATGAGGATAATAACGAAGAAGTCAAATTGGAAGGGTGAGGGTGATGTATCCTCAAATTTTTACATGTTTTTAGTGAGAGAATCTAGAGAGAAGCTCTGCTAGGGTTTTGTTCTGTTCCCGCCTCCTCTCTCTTTGGCCTTTTTGAGGTTCCTTCCTGCTACTATCGGCCTCCCTTTACTCCTCTTCATTCCCACCTCTTCCCAGTTCCTCTTTCCCCTCTAAACCTATTGGGCCCTCGAACCCCTTACCATGAAACCGCATTCTTGCGAGTTCGCCAACAACTTGCGAGTTCCCTATCTCTCCACCTCCAACCCCTAAGGAAATCATTGACTTTCACACTTAAGACATAGCTGATGTTGTTGAGGAGTGGAACCTGACGCTTGTGTGTTATTTTCCTGGGAAAAGACCTTTCTATGAAGCTTTGCTTAATGCTGTAAGGAAGCAATGGAAGCTTAAATGTAATATTAAACTTATCTCCATTAGTGATGAATTCTTCATGTTCAAATTTTCCAGCTCAGAAGACTATGAAATGGTTTATTCTAGAGGTGCATGGTTCATTTTTGGTAAATATTTCATATTTCAAAAATGATTTTCTCAATTTAGTCATAAGAGGGAAGAGTTTACCTCAGTGCCCATTTGGTTCAAGATTCAAGATTTACACCTATGTTGATGGACTCTGATAGGGATTCAAAAATCGCCACTAAAATTGGTTATCCTCTTGCTATCGATGCTCTTATCGCTTCCAAATCCAAGCTCATGTATGCTAGAGTCTGTGTCCAAGTCAACTCCACTGCCTCCTATCATGAAACCATCCCAATTTCTATTGAAGATAAGATTTTTAATCTCAAAATCCAATACGAGTGGCGCCCGTCTCTCTGCGCCATCTACAAATCTCTAAATCATCATGCAGACTCATGTCCCTATAATCCAAACATTGAACTTCAACATCACCCACCTTCAAGCATCAAAGAGGGAGAAGCACAAGCTGCACACCGAGACCGCCATCTCAGAACCCTAAAGGCATCCTTCCTCCACCAAAAATTTTGCATATCCTAGACAATTCAGTCCAACATATTCCATTGGAAATTGATAATCCCTCTGCCTATATCCCCAAATTTTTGTTCCTACAGACACTAACAACACCACTGGCCCAGCCACCAAGCTAATTCCCACACTAAATCCCCCCACCCTGGTTACATCCTCTTCTTTAATCCTTTGCATCCTCCCTTGGGCACCTCACCTACAAAAATCCTTTCACCTAATAAAATTTTTACACTACAAAATTCATCAGAATCTGAAGCTTCCTCTACTCAGGAGCCAGAAGAGTTACCCAATGATTATCCCCTCAACTTACAATCCATCTTCAACCCCTCTTCTAATTCTTCATCACCCTCAGTTCCTCCCAAGGATGTATCCCAATCTCATAGAAATACCAAAGGAAAGGGCTCCAGTAGATGCCCTAACCCTCCACCTTTTAATTCATGACCCATTCTAATATTGTTGTTTGGAATATCAATGGCTTCAATAACACTGATAAAGTTTTATGCTATAGGAATTTGGTCTGTGATCATGATATGGACATGATCTGTCTTCATGAAAACAAAATTCTCTCCTCTAATCTTAACGACCCTTGGTTTTGTTTGATTCACAAAATTTTTGAGAATGAACTTAGTTCTAATAACTTTAAGCTTGCCTCTCCTGGCTAAATATGGATTAAGTGGAATTCAGACAAAATCTCTGTCTCCCAAACCTTCACTTCTAAGCAAATGATTTTGGGCATCATCTCTCATGGTTCATATTAGTCTATTTTATCTATGTTGTTTATGCTTTCAACTCTTTTGAGGAGCGTTCTCTGCTCTGGGATGATCTCAGGAAATTGAAGCCACCAATTAGCATTCCTTAGGTGGTGATGGGAGACTTTAACTATTGTTGTTTCCAATCCAAAAAGTCTGAAGGAAATGAAATTGTAGCACATAGACTTGACCTTTTCAACTTCCTCATTTTGGACACTAATGTCCTTGTGGAAGTTACAAGGTATAATCAAAGAGGAGAAAACCCAATCCACCTCAAACTGGACCGTGCCCACTCAAATGAAGCTTGGACTAAAGCTTTTCCTGATACATTCTGTAAAGTGATGAACAATTCCATTTTGGACCATACTCTGCTGCTTCTCAAGACTAACTCTGTTAAGATTGTTAAACAGATATTTATGTACAAAAATTATTGAACAAAAATTCTAGACTTTTGGGAGTCTCTCATATCCATTTTTGTCATTTCTTCTCAAGGAAACCCCATCAATAGCTTTTACAATAAGATCAAGTTGTAGAAGGAAAGTATTAAAACAAAGAATTGGGAATCCTCTAATCTCATTGTGAGCAAATGTGCTGACTTGTCCTCTCAATAACAACATTATCAGTTGCTTATTGACTCATACCCTCTTAATGTGTCTTTGTGTGACAAACTTAAGAAGCAATGCCGAACTGGCTTATTACAACTCTCTATGGGCAGCATGGACTATTAAAAGATCTAAAGTGAAATGACTTAAAAATGACGACGAAGATTTAAAATTCCTATACTCTAATATTCATAAGAGGAAATCTCACAATAGAAGTATTCTGCATGCTTTTATTCTTACTTACAATCAATCTCAAGCTGATAATATTCAAAGTATTATAGAACACTTCAAAGATATATACAGCTCATCTCCCTCCATACTTTCTGATATTGAAAATATTCCTATTGGAAGTGTTGTTCTGTATGCTGCTATTCACTCCCTTCTTATGCCGATTACGAATGAGGAGATCGTCTCAGCCATTTCTTCTGGCTGTTCCAACTCGGCCCCTAGACCCGATGGCTTTAATTTTATGTTTTACAAAAAATACTTGGGATATCACTAGACCAGAGGTTTTTAAGGCTATCAAATATTTTTTTCAGTAAATGTTACCTTTCGAACCGTGTTAAGACAATTGCAATTGCTCTCATTCCCAAGAATAATATTGATGAGAGCATTTATGATTTTCGACCTATTGCGCTATGAAATGTTT